CATGCACACTGGCATGCCTTCGCTGGCTCCCTACAAAGCTCTCTTTGGAATGACCTCCCGCTGAACGTTAGGCAAGCCTCCCTTCGTTGCCCATCTTTAAAGCTCGTCTAAGAACTCATTTTTATTCTTTGGCTTTGTATACAGCGGTGGATGTTTTAAAGTGCTCTCGGAATTCAGTTGAGCCGAGTCGTAACGCGTTAACACTGTGTAAAAGAATGAAAAATTGTGAGCAGAGCTCAGGTCAGACTGTGCTATATCCTGCTTACAATGTTATGAGTCCCTGCAGAGTTATAAGGATATCGAGATGATATTTATAGTTTGCTATGGTATTCACATAAGGCGAGGGTTTGAGTCTTTGGAAAGTCATTAACACGCTTTAGTCATAAAAACGCCTTTTTGGAAAATGGCCATCTCATTTATGCTGTGTCGATTCCAGAATTCTCTCAAAACGCCCGCCTGACTGTGCATGGGACAAATGCAGCAAATTGCTGCTCCGAAAGGCAGTGTTTATATCGCCTTATATAACTCCGCAGGGATGTCCTTTGCGGCGAAAGACTTGCTGACAACGTGGCTGCAAAGTCCAAGTGCAAATCTCTAAAGTTTTGTGGTCACTTAGCTGTGGCCTCCAACGGCGAGTAACACAGTGCCCCTTCATGAGCCTAATGTAAACCAGTTATTGATTTCATTTACCCCCCCCCCCCCCACACACACACACACACACACAGACAGCATCAATTTCAAGAGGTGCTTGCGCATCCCTGTAGCAAAGAGAGTGCGATTAGCCTAAAGGTGCATTTGGGAATATAGACCAAGACGAAACGACTCTCGGAAGCATGCTGATTTAGTTTCCAATCAATACGGTCGTAAAATTCATACCTATTCCACGTTGGTATGTTTTAGCTCAAAAGGCCGCCCGCGCCAAGCTGTGAAGCCCCTCTTTCCTCCAAACTTATTTACCGGCTGGTTATTAGACGACTGCTGTGAGTGGGTTAATGACAAATTGCGAGCGGTGGCTTTCCACTACGGCGATGCAGAGCTCCGATTTTGGTTCTTGAGAACGTGTCCGCAGTGCAATGTTGAGTTGTATTCATGCAGGGGGGGGGGGGGGGGGTGTTGGGGTTTTAGGCAAAAAAAATGGCTACAGAGACACTTGAGGACATTTAGGTGCCTTTTATATATTGCACTTATAAAGCTCCTTGTCAAAACGATTTGTTTAAGTGATAGCATCTTATTTTGTTGGGTAGGCCACCGCCGCATACTTTTCATGTGTGTTTTAGCAATCCCCGAAAGTGCAGTTTTACATTTTGAAAGCATTTTCGCATGCTGATGCGATTGAGGCCAAAAGGAGTCACTCTAAATACTCGACTGGCTGTTTTCCAGCCTTTTGAATGAACTTCATTGCTTCTTGAGCCCACAGATAGAACAATGTGCGAAGGGAGGGGTGTTTTTTTTTTTTTTCCATTGTGGTTTGGCTTCCTTGCTCATCTGCAATGCTGAGGTCAACACAGTGTTGATATTACTACCAAGGCTCCGATTAGCTAGTCACAGGTATCTGAAGTTAACTTTCAGCAGAACTAATATATTGCAGAGGTCATATTTTCTCTCTTTTGGAGCAATTGTCCTCTCGTAAAGTAGGTCAAAGGTCGAATTCATACCAGAGGCTTGTAAGCACGGTCAGAATATTCATTTTATTCCTCACCCCCCAAAACCCTCCCTCGACCGTTTTATTCGCCACAACTCGCTGCGGTCGCTGTGACGTTGGCAAAAGGCTGGACCCAAATAAAGGGAACCCCAAATTAAAAATGGCCCGACAGAGACTGAAAGGTCGCAGGGCACTACGTCTCGAAAAACTGACGAGACCGCAAGGAACACCTGGACACAAAGTGTTGGAGGGAGCTGATTGGTTAACGCGTGGGACTGGGATGACGAGAACAGGTGGAAACAAAACCTAACAAGGCAGAGAAAAAGCCCTTGGAGGAAACAAGCCATGACATGAAACAAAACTGTAGAATGTTTTAGGATTCCAAATATGCAGGCTCAGAGAAATCGCAGTTGCAAAAATATTCATGAAAGAAAATTGCACGGACAACGTATGACCTGAAATCGCTGGTCATAAGTTGCCAGGAAGAACAATGCGTGAAAACCAAAAGCACTTGCAAAGGCAAAGATCAATAGAACACCGAGAGTACTGAACAATGCTGGAACAACTTTATCGGAGACTGAGGTTTAGATCATCTTGCAGGAACGGTGTCATTTAACAGCTATCATTCAAAAAGCGGTCATCATGTGCTGCCCACTGAGCTTCGAGTCATTTTAATCTATTATCTTCAAAAAAATCCTTGTTGGAAATGGGATGAAATGAAAAGCAAAAGGGAAAAAAAAAAGAGACGTGTCAAAACTGACGTCAGTCTGAAGAATATTGGTTTCAATGTCAAATCAGTTAGTATGGGAGTGTAATACAGTCGAAACACTTTTCAACGTAACCCGTTGATCAATATTTCCACCCCTATAACATTCACCTTTCAAAGTCCCGATTTCAAATTTGAATGGACCACCGACCCCCACCCCCACCCACCCACCTCCACCCCAAATAAATTTAGCGCCAAATACATCCCACCATAGAGCAATTAATACATCTCACTGGAAGGTTATGAAAAAAAAAAAAAAAAGACAAAGGGCGGCTGAGGAGTATCAACAGCTTTACGCCTACAAGAAGACGGCAGAAAGAGAACACATAGGAAGGGGGAGGGGGGGTGAAAAAAAGGCAAAAACTACACCAATGCTTTCTGGTCTTGAAATGGAAAAACACTGCTACTGTATTTCCATTTCGTCTTTTGCATCTTTTGTCGTCTTACTCCTATCCAGTCAGCTTATTCCATTCACCCTCCCACGTTCTCTTCCAAATGTTTCTTGTGGTTGGAAAGAATGAGGGGAGGGAGACATTAATGCTGTGTTTGGGAATATGTGTCAGTTGGCAAAATAGGGTCCACATGGCCTAGGTCTGTGATGTGTACTTGGCTTCATCTAATCCTTTTTTTTTTGTCTTTCGCCCACATGAACTCAATTTTTTTCCCCTCTTTTTATGAACGCTGTCCTTCTATTTTATCGAGCTCTACTTTTTTTTTTTTTTGCACTCCCACCACCCTCATGTCCCAACAAGCAAACCAGACTTGAGTAGCATAATACGCCACATCCCTCCGCAGCCTTAAATCCACAATGCATGCGCGCGCTCATCTTGTATCTTCTAATGTTGCTTTGCTGCAGCAGTGGGAGTCTTTCAGCTCAGCGCTTGGCATTTTAACTTTATTCCGTGTCTTATTGCCGTAATAATGGAGGCCAGCAAGCGGAGCGGCGGTGGGCACGCAAACACATTTTTTATCGTTACAAGTCTCGCTTGCACTCAGTCAACGAGGGTTGATGGAGGAAAATGAAGTCAATGTATTGGGTGCACATATTTTACGCTAGGCGGTAATAAAACAGAGGTGCCCGGCATCAATTCATTTTTGGTTACGGTTGAAGTGAATGGATGGAGGGTTTAACAAATAACAAACATGATGCTTTTTTTTTTTCCTTCTTCTTTTTTGGGGAGCACAAATCCCCTGTCAGCAGCGCTCAGCAGCGTTTGGCCTTCAGATAAGATCTCCTGCCCTCTTTCAGCGCTCTCTTGCTCTCTCATCCCTCATCCCCTTAGTGGAGCACGAGAGCATGCAGTGGAAATAACTGAGCCAGTAAAGACGAGGGCCAGAATCCATCCACTCCCCGCGCTTGGGAAAGTTACTAATGAAACGAGCTGGTAAGCGACGCCACGTTGGGGCCGGGGGGCGGGGGGGGCGCTGATATAACGAATGCTACGGATGGCAGACCGTGTGGTGGCGAGTATGATGGAGGAGTCGACTTGGGAGGAGACAAATGAGACAGATGATTGGGAAAGGCGAGAAGTTGAAAGGGGAAACATGACCACACGTTTTTCTTCAACTTGGGAGAAGGAAAGGACGTGGACCAAATGACTCTCAACCATTGTTAGGATCAAGGATCTCTTCTGCGGTATCTTGCCACTACAGAGCAACACAGAATCCTTACAATCAGATAATGAGATGTAGGGCCCTATTTTCATAAACGGGAGCCCGTGCACTCAGCGTAAAAAAAGGTGCAAACGCCCTACACTATCTACGCTAGTCAACATAAATACAAAGAAACGTCTTGAGTCAAGTCTGCACAAGTACAGCAAGAAGATGCGATAGTTCAATGTATGCAAATGAAGGCGATTGTGATAGCTTTGGAATTTTCATGTGCTCAAGCATGTGAATTGTTTAAAATCAAAGAAAACCTTGAGTACAACACGCATAAACACATCCCTGAATGTAGACGACATCTTGCATTGACTGAGCTAAAGCTTCGAGCTAACGTCAAAGTACGGAGGCCATCTCGACACACGTAACATAAACACGAGATGGGCATTCGTCACCCACAAACCAACAAACAACAGTGGCGCACTCGCAAGAAGAACGCCAACGTGACATTTGCCTCTTGAACAATTTATGAGATGCCGTTGATGTGGCCGTGAAGGTAAGCAAACTCTTCTGTTTTCCCGGGGCTGCAAGTGGGGCCTCTATGGATTGCTTCAATAAAACCCAGCATTAAACAACAGGGTACGCATGATACTTTTTTTGCATTATAATGGAGTGAATTCTTCATCATCGCAAAGCCGCCGCAAGGTCACGATCAGCAAGGCTCCGACCCAAGTCAGAACGGCAACAACGCCTTGATGAATGTGATGAATCAAACCGCGTGAGGCAATGAAGAGAAAACAAGACAGGTAAGGAAAGGGCACAGGCCTGGAGGAAAGACGCTTGAAAGATTAGAGACAACCCCACCCCATGCCCCCGGCCTCCTTGTACAGGCGTGATGATGTCATCAAGGGATCTCCCTCCTGAAAAACGAGGAGAAAAGAAACAGAGCCACGCAGGGGAAGATTTTGAGACACAGAAGGGGGAAAAAAAAAAAGAGAGGCAGAGACTCGGGAATTAGAGGGGAGGGGAAAAGTTGGACACCCACTCTCGCCGTGACTTTTCCTCCTCTTCCCTTTCTCCGTGGAGGACGCCTCAAGACAAAAGAAAAGTCGCTTCAAGGATCCAACCAAACACTGGATTACTTTGGATTTACATCAGATTTTGATATGCAAACGGTTCTTGTCGGATTCATGTCATAACAAGTTTGTGGATTTAATCCCAAATTCAAGGTATGTCTTCAATGAACTGTTAATTGCCTGACGCGATGTGCAACTGCGGCGGTCTTGGGGAATTTGGACTCATTTCGTATTTTTAAGCAACAAGTCTTCCAACAAGCTTTCAACAAAGTGCGAGGGAAGAAGGTCAAAGTAACGGAAAAAAAAAAAAAAGTTCACATCAACTTGGCTTTTGCCTTTTTTCAGGGGGGAGGGGTGCAGGGGGGGGGGGGGGGGGCTGACTCAGCTGTGTAACTAATACGGACTAACCACACTCAATGCACAGTTCCAGATACAATAGCTCAGCATAATAGCGGGATACAATCAAAAATCGTTTTTGCACTCTTGCAACAATTTGGGGAATCGCTTTTTGACGGCGTAGACTGTCGAGCTACTGCGTCAAGTGATGTGTGTGTGGCAGCTTTTCTCCTGCTCTTTCACCAAAGCCAAAACTTGATGGAGCCGAGATGCATGTGGCTGCTGCCGACTCAGCCTTGCAATCAGGTCACGCGAGCGTGGAAAAAGAGGCGCTCGCACCGTGGCATGGTAGCTCGCGCTTGCCCGTGAACAAGGAGTCATGTCAGGATTCAAACGACTTTGTTTGCGGGGATACCAAAGTCACATCTGTTTCCGAATTAGTCAGCCCCTCCATGTTTGCTGGCTTTTGCATTTATGCCTGCGCCGACCCCCTCCTCCCCACGCACGCACATACACACCTTGTTGACCCAAGGTGATGCATTTGTCATCAAGTTACATATAACTTACATGCAGCGGTGAGCTTTGGGCAAATGTGGAAAGTGCTTCAGTAAGCTTGTATGTGGGGCTTGCAGCAAAGTCGATTAGCCCCGTGGACTGTTTATTCGGGTCAGTAGTGAATATATCATGAGGAATCAGTCGAGAAACACTCGACCCAGCAATGCATTTGATGGGCTCTGGGCCAACCAGCTTATGTCATGAGAGGTTTTTTTTTTTTTCTCCCTTCTCATAGTGTAAGCGTTTTGAAAGCGTCCATGTCTTTGGTAACTCGAGACAGTGTGGAGTAGACTCCCTCTGAGGATTGCCTGCGATTAACTGTCCTGCCTTTTTTTTTTTTCTTTCCTCTTCCTCTGCAACTGCACCGGCCTGTTTCTCATTACCGACTACTCAAGCTCTTGGACACTGGCCAGAACGTAAGACTCATGAAAACTTGCCTCAGCCTATCCTGTGCACGGCACACTTTGGGATATTGCCTCAGCTAGTTTGTAAGTTTCTATTGCTTCCAGTTATTGCTTCGGCCGAGGATCTATCATAGCTTGATGGTATCTTTGCATTCAAAGTCCAGTGCATTAAAATAGGAAGTGTGCAACTTGGCCTGCGAGCATTCAGACTGGCGTTATTTGTCAGACCCTCAAATGAGTACTTTAAAAGAATGACTTTTCAAGAAAAAAAAAAACCCCATAAAGTCCAATCCTTCTGTGGGGCCATGCAAAGACCCGTGCTGCATCTTAGAAGGGCCTCCAATCGAGCAGCAAGTACAATCGAGAGAAAATTCTACAAAATAGACAAATTCAACTATTACCTGACTGACACATGTGATACTCGTTCCTAATTTCAGTCAGCTACTTTCATCATTCCCACTTGGCTTTTAAATGCCTTTATCTCTTGTTTGTAAACACTTTGAAATGTCAAACTTTTAATTGTGAAGCACGTTGAGTTATCTTGTGTATGAACTCCACCATATAAATAAAGCTGCTTTGCCTGACGTGATCCTTGAGTTTTATGACTGTCACTCCTGTCGTAAACAAGGAAAATGACGAATTACGCGTCGAATATTTACAAAGCACTGAGCGCACTTACCTCACCATGTGTGGGAGTGGGAATGATTAGAGAATTGGAAAGAGACAATTGGCCTTCGGTCAAAAGAAATATGTCACTGCTAGGTTTATTATTAGTCAATAAGCTCCCTGCGACTTCTGGATTTGGCCTCCAAATAGACATTTTTGGTTTTACTCTCCCTCCATTGGCTTGCAGTGACCTAAACATTTGTTTGCTTTCTTTCTGTGCTTGGGGACGATGTGTCGGCCAAGTCCCAACTTTATCTCCTCTGGCCAGCTCTGTGGCCTTGACACTGTGGCTATGGCAGTCAAAAAAAAAAAAAAAAAAATAGATTTGCAACACATAACAGGAGGCTTACAAAATTCATGTGGATTATGGCCAGAAAATGATAGCAACGAGCTACTTTATATGCACTCGTTTCCATTCTCTGCAACGTGATGCATTATGTATTGTGTGAATTTGCTTATTATGATGATTATGTGGTATCTGGCCACCTATAATAGCGGCAGGTGTAGAGTGCTCAAAAAGCCATCCGAGGCTTTGATTAACCTTCTGCCCATTGGAGCCGCAGGGGGGAATATAGTTTCATGATGTTTCGCTCACTGTAATTTTACAACCCCCCCACCCCCCACCCACGCACACACACACACAAATGGTTATGCACAAGGATGGATTATGGCTTTATACAATCGTTGGATTGATCGAATGCTAAGGTGGGAATGCTAAATGCTCTTGTGTTGTGCCCTCATGGGGGGGGAAAGAGGGGTGGAGGTCATCGCCCCAGGAAGGCAGGAAAGGTGTGTCGACAGGAGGCAGTTTGCTCACTCGCCTGCCTTGAGGGCTCCGCTCTACTTGTAAACACTCTGCGACGCTCAGAGCCTCTCTCTTGCCAGCTGAGGGCAAATGTGGGTCAGTCGGCGATGAGTTAATGAGAGCCAGCGTAGCTGCGTGGCGTGTTTATGTGAGTGCATTGTCATGTTTAACTCAAGAAAAAAAGGAAAGGGACTGCAGATGGTGGCGATAAATGGTTTTGCAGAAACGCTATGATTAGATCCGGCCTGTGCTGGTGAGTCACAAGCAAGCACCCGCTTCAACTATTTCATGCCTCTTCCAGGTTTTTTTTTTCTTCTTTTTTTGACAATGAGGTTTGTGAAACCGGACCGTCAGGTGCACATCGTAATCGTTTTCTTCCTCAAGCTTGTTGTGGCTCAACAGATGCACGTTTATGTCATATTTGCATACATGTGTGTTTTTTATGTCGCTTGCGCCCAGCGAAAGGCTAACCAGATGGATGGCATAATGAGGATGATCAGACTTGATTGACTTGCACAAAACAAACAAACAAAAAAATACATCAGAGTACATCATCAACACGTTGACTGCGAACTGCTCATAAATAAACACCAACGTCTATTTGAGATTGACTGCGGCATAAGTTTGCCGCTAGAAACAAAGCCGAAGGGTGAGCAGGCCGAACACTGGGAGGAGTTTGACGTTTTGTGCCCATTTGTCCATCAGGTGGTGGCTGAGGTGAGGCGAGGTGCACGAAAGCATGTGGCTTCTTGGTTCCTGCCTGACTCTGCTGGCCATCGGCCTCGGATCATGTGCAACGCTTCCATCAGATCAAGGTGAGCCTCCGATTCGTTTCCGGGCTTTAAAGAATGCAAATATGTACTCGAGAAGGTCATGAAAATCATTCTGGAGCCACGGACATTGAAATTAATGAAGCCATGAGAGCTGGAGAATGTTGAACAAGATAACGATCTTGATTATTTGAATGAGACGCCCGCGCGTTACAAAAGGGGCTTTCACAATTACAAGAACCCCAAGAAGTTGCGCCTTGCTCGAGGTCACGCCGGCATTGCTCAAGATTTAAACGGATATCGCCGAACCTCCTTTCAACGCATCCCGTTGATGGCGCTTTCATCCCGATAACGTTCACATTTCCAAGTCCCGATTTTGACGTCATTTACTTTCCATTTGCCGATTTTGCTGACAACGAACACCTTTGGAACGTCAACTTCATTATAACGACGCGATTTTTCCCACGAAAAGGCCTTCGCTACGACGAGCCGATGCGGCTCAACGCTCGCTGTTATATGAGGCGTGATTATGGCTTACTTTGTTTCAACTGCTGGCCCTCAGTGGCAGGGTGGTCAGCGCGTGGTTGAAATGTGCGGTGGCTTTTCTCTTCGGGAGCCAGCAATCATTCCAGCAGTGTGCTGGTTGACTGACGTTTTTTTTTTTTTTACTTTCCCCCATACAATAAACGTCACAATCTCTTTACGCTACTCGATGTATTTATGAAGTTTGAAACATTCGCCCCTGATATCACTTGGGTGCTGCGTCACTCAACGGAGTTCCATAAGAAGCTTTGAGGAGCCGCTCGTCACCGGCGAGTCAAGACGAGACCGCGCCAGCTTGCGCCTCCCTTGAGTCTTCTTTCTGCCGCGGCACTTTGAGAAGAAAGCCATGTCGCAAGCGGAGCCCGAACCTTTCGTGCCGGGCAGCGACGCAAAAAAGCACGCTCGCAACTGTTCCTCTTGATTCAGCCAAATCTCAATTTGCCGCTAATTTGCTGACATGACATCTGGGGAGCGGGCTTAATTAAAACTGGCGTTGAGGAATCGTGCTGCAGAACCGCCCCATATCGGCCTCAGAGACCGGTCCTCTCGGGCAAATCAAATTGCTTTGTTAAGGTGATATGTTTTGGGGTTTTTTTTGTGCACTGCAGAGTCCCTGCGGTCGAAAGTGATGTTGGAATCATCTCTTTTGTCGGCGACTGCGCTGTAATGCTTTGTTTTGCACTGCCGTGAGTGCCAAGCGATGCATTACCGGTCCAGCTATCAATCTACAGTCTTCATCATGATCGTCACAAATGCTGCATTTACTCCCCCCGAGGTGCTTTTTGGGGCCTTTGTGGTCATTTCCTTCACGAACTGCTCCATACTGTGACTTTCGGAGTTGTGAAAAGTGAAAAGCTGGCTTGTTTGGATTCAGGATATTTGAAGAATGTTTCATTTCCGTGCAGGGGAGGGTGACGGCTTGCCTTGGCGGCATTTTTCGGATCATTATCGGTCTTGCTATCGGTTGTCTCCGCATTTTGGCTGAATATGAGCTCGGGCCACTTTTGCGATTCGTGCTTCAAGTAACATCTGCCTCATCAATAAATATTTGTCATACAGTCATCTACCGGCAGTCACTTGTGCCCAAGTCGGACGGGAGAACCATCCGTTGAATGCGTCTCCATAATCTTCTCCACCTATCATTTTGGTGCGTGGTAATCATGGTTTTAGTTGTCCATAGAAAAGAATAGCTTGAAAGGAAATGACGCCAAATCTAATGCGGCCTTTCCAGTCTCGAGTGTGACCACTGACCGGTACTTTGAGGTCAAATGTCGGTATTTTAGTCATGAACACACCTCTGGATTGCAGATGTCGTTCTAAATCTTGTGATTGGTTGATTCCTCCGCAGACCTCCTGACCTTTTGTGTATTGTTGAACGCACCCGTAAGGGAATTTTATTTTCCGCCATATGAATCCCTTCGACACCTCATTTCAGTTCTGATTGAATTGTGTCGAGGCTTCTTGACAGCACAAGTTCACACCAATAGCTAGTGATCCGGCCTGCCACTCGTCTTCACACAAATAGCAACTACTGTGTGACTATAATCATCTTCTGCGTCGCAAAATGTTGTCTTCCTCAAGCAGATAAATATCATCACTTTTGAAATATGCCCTTCGCTGTGCGAACTGAGAGTATACGTCCCCACAAATCACTGTCTTGCAGTGTATTCAAGAACGACGGAGTGCACAAATAACTCTTTTCTCAATTTGGTCAAAGGACCGAGTCAGTTTGTTTCTCACAAAGTCAGCTTTGCCATTTCCAATCTCGAGCCCCGCCCCTGTATCTATAGAAATGCAGACCATCTGCTCCACATGTCACATCACAGTTTACAAAGCTCTCAAGGCTAATGTTTGTCTGCCCTAATAACAGTGCTATCATAAAATTAGGCCAGGGGCCCAAACGGGGGAGCTTAGCCATCCAAGAGTGCTGTTTTATGTCTTTCCACTCATCTGTGCTGCAGTTTTGTCTCTGGGAAAGCAACCAGGAATGTTCACTCATTGGCCTCGAAGCAGAAGCGTGAGCGACTCCCCGTGCGAGACTCCCACCTTAGATCCTCCCGCCATTTCTATTACCTTCTCAGTCTGTGGTTTCCTCTCCCCTTTTTGAGCCCAATCTACACAACGGAGTCATTGTTTTAAATCAACGACATCGCGCATCACCCTCCGCATGCCTTGAGTGACTTTAATGGGCCGGCGTACTGCAAAGCTCTGAGAGAGAAACATTTTTGGCTGATCAGCAGCCCAGTCCAATTATCTGTGAAAGCCACACTGTAAAGCACGCTCGATACCGCCATCTCCCCGCCTTATTAATAACCACACGGTGTGAGCAGACTTTTGACCTCCTCTCCCTAATGAACACCTACTTACCAAGTGTATTATCTAAGGGAAGCTCACAGAACCTAATGGGTTGCAGTGACCCTTGCCACACGCAGGAAAAGAAGACGAAACCACTTTTACGCCTTCGGCGGTGTTACAAAATGCGTGTTTGAGTTTAGCTTTTTGACAGATGTTCTTGTAATCCGGGCGGTTGCATTGTTTTCCTAAAAAGAAAAAAAAATTGCTAGGAGAGCTCGTTTCATTAAAACACAGCTCGAAAATTGGCAAAAAAAAAAAAATGGAGCACTGGATTCATTTCACAAAAACACTCAAACGAAAAATCAAGTCTTATGCTGAGTCAAAAGCCAAAGAATAAAAATGAGTTTTAAGACGAGTTTTAAAGATGGGCAACGGACATGACAACATTGAAAGGCAGGACAAAAGACAGAGAACTTTACCGAAAGGAGAACAAGGTGAATAACAGAAAGACATCCATCCATCCACCCATTTTCTAATCTGCTTTCTCTTCACAAGGGTCGCGGGCGTGCTGGGGCCTATCGCAGCTGTATTCGGCTGGGCACACCCTGAACGGGTTGCCAGCCAATCGCAGGGCACACATACACAAACAACCATCCGCACTCAGACCTCGGGACAATTGAGAGCGTTCCTTTAACCTGCCATAGATGTTTTTTGGAATGTGGGAGGAAATTGGAGTACCCGGAGAAAACCCACGCAGGCAGGGGGAGAACATGCAAACTCCACACAGAAAAGCTGGAGCCATCGATCATATTTGGGGGGGGCTCCTCTTTAAGTCACGTAGTGGCTATCTCCCAAACGTCTTGACCCAGCTCCCCTCCTCTACTTTTGATCACAAGCACTGATTATCTTCCCTCCACCTTGTCATCTCATGTGTTGTTATTCAGCTTTTTGTGGTTCCCTCTGTCTTCCTCGCCTCTAGTCACGGACTCTCTACAGCCGACATGGCTTTCATCTTGACTCTGGGATGGGTCGGGGGGAAGCCGGTGATGAAAACCAAAAGAATAAGAAACAGACCAAGCAGCAAATAACTTTTTTTCTTGACATAAAAAAAAAAAACCCAGCAAGGAGAGATACGGAATGAAGACAGGCTCCGTGTTTACGTGTCTTTTTCTTTTTTTCTTTTTTTTTCTTTTTTTTGACAGGCAGTTTTTGAAAGGCTGCAAGAGATTTCAGTTGGCGCTGACTTTGCAGAAGCCAATATCAGTGGAGGGCCAAGTTAAAAATACATTGTTTTGATTTTCTTTTCCCCTCCTCTGCTTACCAATCCATCCTTACGCGACAGGTGTTGTCCACACCTTGATTTGTGCACGTCAACCACAACGGCGACAACACAACACGCGCCGCATACAGACAAGCCGCAATGTGCGCGTGCTTTGTCTCACGGCTTGGCGCCGAGTCGAGCAGATGCTGCGGGGCATCAAGATGAATAGGTGATGACTTATTCGATTTTCCAGCGGGCCTCTCTGAACTTAAATTACTCGATGGTAATTATGCTCTCATTTCGGTCGTAATTTTAGCTCCTGACAGGACTGACATGAGGCGTGACGTGCTTGAAAGCAGCCATGGCCTGCATTCGCTACTGTGTCCCAAATTCTCATTTGCATTCAATTCCATGAAAATGGAAGAACAGGAAAGCAAATGCAAAAAAAAAAAAAAAAAAAAAAAAAAGCATTTATTTACAGGGCCTAATAAAGGGGTTTATTTCTTCAGGGTCTGCTCTGTCTTGTTTTGTTTATAAGTCTCTCAATAATAAGCCCCGGTCTCTTACGTTTGATTTAGCATCCCAAAGATACTTGGATTCAGTTCAATTAATTACTGAACGGCAATTTGTTAGCAGCTTTAACTACAGCAAGTTTGGACTGCGTTTTTAATTTGCATTTCTTTTTATGGAAACGTTGCTTTTTGAGGCGTATTCTCCCCATCATAAGATTGTTAAAGAATGACAAAAGAGAATTTCTCCCCCCAGCAAAATGAAAGTGGGCCTGGTATAATGCCTTGTTCGGTCCTCTGCCCCAAAAAGATCAATGACATTGATTCACAGGGTCCATGTCTCACTCTAATAGCCCCATTTTTCCACACATCTCACATAACCTCCCACCCCAGCCCCTTTTTAGTCTGTCAAGCACCACCAGTTATCTTCTACCCCCCCCCCACCCCATTTTGACAAGGTGCGAACATGTCCATCAAGTGCAGTGCGAGTCAACTTGTCCGATGGAGCCACGTTCGTCTCAGCACAGCTTTGACCTCGTTTCATCTAGCTCAGCGTGTTCCGCTCTCTTTCGGACTTCATTTTGGATCAATTTTGTTTGTACATCTCGAGTGCGCAGTCAACAACCGGCACTGTTGCGATGCGTTATGTTCCCATCTCGTCAACCGACGGAGGTATGAATCACCGCCGGCCTACTATTTGTCTCCCCAGATGCTCCGTGCCCGGCTTTACAAGTGGAAGAATGGAAGTTTCCACATTCGCCTCGGGATAACATCACAGGTGACGTCAGGTCTCTTTCGAGTTTCTTTCCTCTTGTTCTGGTGAGGATGTCGACCAAGGCCAATGCCATTCGCAGGCTTTGATTTGGTGAGGCGGTTCTCCCTCCTCAAGAATCAAGATGTCAAGAAAATCCGCAACCCTCGCGGGCCCGTCATCCTCCGCTTGGGCAAGACTCCTCTCATCCGTCCCACCGAGTAAGTTAAACGTGCATCTCCTTGCGCTCGCTCAGCTCACAACCGAGGGAGATTCACACGGCAAGCCATCATGTTTTTTTGCAGTTGTTATGCATGTGTTTATTTTTTTGTTTTTTTTTGCACGCCATTACCGACCAAAATGACTGACAGTCAACTCGGAAGCTTCGGAAACCTTCTTTCAACGTGTCCCATGGCTATCGTGTACAATGCGGAGACTTGGAATGCCAAACCTCCACAAGCCTGATCGCATTTCCAGATAGACCACTTCCACTCCCCCGCCGCATTGTAAAAAGAGAAGAAAACAAGAAGAAAAAAAAAAGCGAAATTGACGGCCCGATTAGTATTTGCATGACCTTTGGTTTCATTCTCTGGCATCCCTGCATCATGCATCAATCTCCGACCGTTTCTACGACAGTTCTGTCAACAATAAAGCATGTTTACAAACCTTGACAGGAGTAGTTTCTCAGCTCGCTCTGCTCACTCGAAGGCCAAATAAAACCTTGCTTTTTTTGGGGCACTTTGTCCTTAAAGTGATTCACATAATGTATCCTGTGATATGTTAGCGGAGCTGCTTATCGTATACGTCATGGCAGTTATCGTGCTTGGCCTCATTACGGTTCTGCTGCAGCCGACTGCAGTTGATGGGAGGCGAGAGACCAGGGAAGACCCTGGAATGGTCATCCTAGTGTAACATTTCATATGATATTTTGTCAGTTTTGCCCTGAAGAATGCTGCGCTTTGACAAATAATATAAAGACTGAATTTACTTATTTTTAAGCGACCCTCATGAATTCATTCAGTGCCAAGGATGTTTTTTTTTTTGTTTTTTTTCCGAAGAATCCAGGCATTCAATCGCAGGAATTCATGTGTTTTTTTCACGTGGTGGCGTAAAGAAGAGTCTTTTTGGCCCGGACTGACTGATTCCAATCCAAGCGCATTTCAAACCAACCCTAAGGCTTGTTCTCAGGCTTTCACTCCATGAAAGTGATTGCATGCTTTTGTGCTAATGTGATAATTCCGGCTCAATGTGGGCAAAGAATATAAAAACGTGGCGTGCTGTCATTCAAGCGGCGTTTTAATTTATCCGCAACGAGACTGAGATGCGTGTGTGTCGAGTGATTGGAGACTAATGGTTTGCTTTGTATTAGAGGCTAATCGACTCACAAATGAGTGACAGCCAAATGAAGCCGCTTGTTTCGTGGCGGTCGCATTTGTCTGTTGCCAGCAAAATGGCCACCGCTCAGCAAAGTAGGATTTGATTGCTTTAGGCCTGTTTTTTTTTTTTTTAATGTCGGTGGAGGGGATCAAAAGAGGGCAAAGCCATTTTCTGATATCGCGGCACGCAACCCAGATTGCGATCAAAGAATCTCACGTCTGTTGGTCCTGCAATATACACTCCAAAGCACATTTCAGAATAGGGGAAAAAAAAGCCTCCAGGCTAAAAATCCAAAGAAATCTAAAACATTATCACCTGCCTTGCATGACGATATGCTCGTGCATTAAATGTGTTCGCGAGGCCGATTGCAGCATTCGTCTGCAGGACGAATTGCAGAATACATTTTTGCGACGGGGTCTCAACCACAAAAGTAAATGACACATGACATACCGTCTCTCTTCTGTATTAAAAAAAAAAAAGGCCTCAACCTCAGCCACTTTTCGTTTCACCAAGGGCGGGAGTGGAATGGGAAGGAATTATTTGCGAGGCCCTCTCGGGCGATCATATTCAAAATGATCTATGAAAATGAAATTCCTTATCGCTTTGCGCTTTTGCCATGAGTTTGCGACAAGCGTTACAATGGCGTTTGTGAAATGGATGTGGCTCCGAACCGCCCCCGCCCCACAAAAAAAATTATTAGCATATCTTACATTCTATATATCATATCGTACTTATTTTTTTTTTTGCCCTATCGAAACAAACTCCTCGCTGCCGTTCCGCCAGCACCCGCACCCATCCACGCGCTACCAGTTTCCAGAGCTTTTTACAAAACGCTTAGTTTTTTCAAGATCCCCATTCTCTCCTTCTCACCTTTCCATTCTACATCCTTCGCCGCCTCCTCCACTCATAAATCATTTCATGAGGTGAGAAAGCGGCTGCCGGCGTCGGCCATTCGCCGCGCACGTGGGCAAAGGAAGCATCACGGAATACTTCAAAATATTTGCCATCTCACTGAGCATACGTTTCACCGGGGATGTTCGTGAACCCTTCATCCCTCAATGCACTTTCATTCATAATTGTCTGGGTGAATTGGTGTGTTTAGATGCCCTTGACCAAACAGCAGAGCTGCAGCTTGCTGGGCCGTATCTGTGAGGAAAATGAATGCCAAAGGGTTACTGACTCATCGTGCGCTTTGCATTGTAATGCAGGCGCTATCTTCAAAATGTGGTGGGGAAGTAAACAGGAATCACAAAGCCACCGTTGCATATCAAACAGCTCGCAACTCTTTTGTCATTTCTTCCTCCGACACATCAGAGGAAATTTGTATGCGCCAATCCTTTAAATTGGCAACAACAAAAAAATATAATAAATCACAACCGGATGAAAATACGTTGAAACCTACCGTATTTTCGATTAAAAAAAAAAAACAAACAAAAAAACATTTTCAACAATACATTTAGACCTTCTGCAAGACATACATTCCCATGAGAATCATCATAAATGTCCAGTTTTCAGAACTACTCAACTTACGTCATTCAAAACAATTGTCTCACCACCGGAATAAACGTTTAAATGCGGCCAGTCTCGCATTGCAAATTAGTGCGGTGCGCTTTGTCAAAGGACTTATATCCTAAATATATCTGCACTGAAAATGAATCTGTACAAATTTCCTTCATTTCGCTCGTCATGTTGTGCCGTCGTGAAGCATTCTTCATGTTTCTTTGTTTCTAGTGAGGTGTTTCCCGATGGCCTTCCTGAGGAGTTCACTCTCATATTCACCTTGACATTAAAGAAGGCTGCCCTGAGGGACACCACCTACCTCCTCCAGATATCTGATGAGCAGGGATACCCTCAGGTTTTGTTTTTCTTTCTGAGAGTACAATCTTTGTAGTCACCGTTCCTGAGGCAGCCCTACCTCCAGATGCTCCTGTCCCTCCACCTTGCTTCAGCTGTCTGTTCTCTCTTTCTTCTAAGCATCCTTTCCCTTTCAGGAACATCACTTCTGATACAGCCACCTTTCTTCACTATTTTTTTGGCTGCAAACTATCGATTGCATCGTCACTTTCGAAAACCTTGACAATTCTTCCCGGTTTGATTGCAGGCGCCTTTACCCATCCTAATCCTCCTTCGAATCGTCTCTCTTGACTTCTTTGCCGCGCTGATCCAATTCAACGACGTTCCGTATTACGGTGTTGCCCTTCGTTGTTATTGACGCGCGCGGGTGTGCTGCATGACGAGACGAGGGGGATTCCTTGAGGTACCTATAATCACTAGCAGCCAGATTTAAATACTCAATATGCATGATGAATGGAGGCCGGGTCCCCTCATTAGGAATGATTTATTGGCTCCACTGCTCGTGTGTGTAATTAATGTCTTCTTTTTTTAAATCCTCCCTGCGTGCGTGCGTTCGACACATCCGCGAAGTGGCATGCCGCCTGTACATATTACTCTTTGTTGACACCCATTCCTGTCGCTTTCACGTTAAGTAGCCTCAAGTCTTTTTTTCTTTGTTTTTTTGAATGTATTTTTCTAAATTCCCAATTCTGTGTATTGATGCCCACACGTCCCGGTCTGATGACATCTCTGCCCCCACCCGTAGCTCTCGGTAGACCTCAACGGCCAAGACGGCACCCTGTCGCTGAGAGCGAGACGGGCGGACGTCCCAGACGACCTGGTGAGCTGTGTATTCGCTAACGAGGCTGTGGAAACTCTGCTGGACTTACGCTGGCACAAGGTGGCCCTGAGCGTGCGGCGGGATTCCGTCTCGCTCCTCGTGGACTGCAACCCCATGGAGACACAGCCCCTGGAGCCCCGTGGCGCAATGTCCACTGATGGGCATACGCTGCTGGCCATTCGAGCTACGGACGCTGGGCCTGTACAGGTACGCTCGTAATTTGAGTGCAGTGTGTGACTGCCGTGTTTTAATAGGTTTTTATTTTTTATTCTTGGGATACCTTTTGATTGAGTTCAGGCTTTGGCGCGAGTCCTTAAACGCCGATGGTTTTACAAGCTTCTGAAATGTCCGTCATAAAGATATACGGTGATCTTGAACTTTATTCTCGGATTGGGCATTTCATTTTCATGATTGTGTTTTCTTTTGACAAACTGATTTGGATAATCTCAGAGCATGTTCTGCATAGCCACGGTCCGAGAAGCCTTTTGGTCGCATATCAGCCTATTTGACGACCCTCCACTGCCCATATGTTAAGTGAGAATGAGAGAACATTGTTTGTACTCCAATCCCTTTGTTCCGAAGAGTCTTTCTCTCTGCACGTCTGCGTATTCATATTCGAGTGTGTGTGTTCTGCAACCTATCCTACGTTCCCGGGTGAGGCAAGCTTGTTCAGTCATGATTAAAAAGCAGCAGACTACCGGGGAGAATGAGTGCGCCGTGAGCCGGGCCTATTAACGGTGAATAGATCCAGTCGTCCCGGCATTTATATTAGTTTAAAGATCAATTAACTTCATTAGTCCGAAAGCATATTTGGTTAACACAGGAAATGGGTATTCATACACACCGGCGCACAAAAACCTCCTGACAAAGCGCTTTGCGAACGCTTCATATAAACGAGCGCTTAATTGGCTCTCAGCTTTGTTTACCGCCTCATTGACGCGTACGTTGTTTATCTTCCTCCCTCTGTCTCTCACAGATGGACGTTCAGCAGGTGGCGCTCTATTGCGACCCATCCCTAGCCGACCAGGAGACCTGCTGTGAAATACCAGGAGCTCGAGTAAGATTTGTCACCGTTTTGTGCGCCAGATATCAATCACCCTACGGTTATTGTCCTTCCTGACAAGCCAAGGCGGGTACCTGCTCAAAACACCTTGACATTTTCTCACCTTATATCATGACTTAACTTGATATTGTCACACATGTGTACCAAAAATCTTGTCTCGAGATTGGTTCCAGGGGCACTAAAATAATTACGTCGAGAGAAATAACGTGGCAGGTCTGTGCCGCGGGAGCACGGTGAATTAGCATATAGCATGTCGGCTGTTGCTTTATTTTGACAAACTCTTTTTCAAAGGTCTCAGCGCCATGACATTGCAAGAACTAAAAGGATGAGATGATTGATGAGCAGTGTTATAGCCGTAATTCAATCGGTATACGCTTTTTTCTGCACCAAAGCATTACACACATCTGCTTTTAACAGAACATGATAATTCAAAAGTATCTAACCCGAGCATTTTCACCAGTTACTGTCAAAAAAAAACAAACAAACAAACAAACAAAAAAAAAAAAACCTTGAGACGTCATAATGCCGCTCAGCTCCCGCATATGAGCCTGGCAACATTTAACGGAGTTCGGGATACTTTCAACACAAAATGATGGTACTTCAACGACCTTAATGGGGGGGGTCTGCGCGCGTCACGTTTTCGGCTTGTGCTAAATATTTTTTCACGCGGTTACAGTGCCCACCGGATGCCTCCAAGAGTCGACGCGCCGCAGAGAATGACTTGGACAACACATTTAGCCAGGTAACAAATAACGCTTTTAATGGCTTGCACATATACTCCACCGCTGGCTTTTGTCGCTTGAAACCATTCTTAAAAAGTCGGATTGAATTTAAATTGCAAGTGGCAAATGTTCAGTCCCCGCATGTCAAAATACCGCAACAAGTGCCTTTTGCCACCTAAAGGTGAATTTTATACATGTCAATTGCTAGTATGTTTATTTCTTAGTTTCCTGACCCTTGGGGAAAAAAATGTTGGAATAATTTTTTTCTGTTATTTCAACTAAATTCAGTACTCAAATTTGAGAATCAATATTTATTCCCTTTCCGGTTCTGACATTTCCATTGACTTGAACTTTGAACTTTCCACACTGACAACACAAGGCCGTCATCTCGTTTTTGCGACTAACCTCTACTTGTCTACTTCACTAAGGAAATCCTCTCATCCAAAGACCTGTCACAGAAAGTAAGTCTGGTTGTTATTCAAAAGCGTTGAATTTTCATGTTTGTTGGGGCCAAAACTGGACTTCCTGTACTGGAGTTTTCAAAATTGTTGAGGTATATGGAGGGCATGCATTTGCATTTGTTTGTTGATGCGTGTGGTTGGGGGGTTCCTTTGTTTCTCTTTTCCTCCCTCACCCACTTTTTGACGGAATGGGACTTATTTTCACCTCATTATGCGACTCACTCGGGATTTGCACCTGCTGGATGAGTTTTGTCATTCCACCTCCAATCCACAAGTTGTTTTTCACAAATGGAACACAAAACTCAAGATGCTTCATCATGTCGCTGCTGCGTGTGCTTACGAGTGCATCTGGCCGGCTTCCCCGACTTCCTCAATGGAGGTTATTTGGGCTGGGGCCCTGCCACGAAGGGAGAAAGTCCTCACGCAGACACAAAAGTGAACCAATCAGGACAAATTGAACATGCAAGTGTTTTTCAGGTCAAAAATGCGCATTAATGGAACACTCGAAATCGTCCCTCAACGTGATTTTGAGCGCAAATGTTTTTTTCGTCACTGTGTGCCCTGTGACTGGCGATCGGTTCAGGGTGTATCCCGCCTACTGCCCAAAGATGGCTGCGATCGGCTCCAGCACGCTCGCGACCCTCGTGAGGAGAAGCGAATCAGAAAATGGATGAATAGATGGATGGCTGGAAATCTGAGGGTTGTTTTGGCTTCTGTCTAGCCGCCTTATCCTCGAGCTACGCCTGAAACCAATTTCCATCACAGTGTTATTGTTCTACAAACTTTGATTAGAATCACCGACTTCATTACGTGAAGCAAAAACGAGAGTGGAATTTGCCACAAATCAAATCTGCTTGAAAATGAGTCTAATATGGAAATAGAGACAGTTGTCTTCTCCATTAAAAATTTGTGTTGTGACAGACAGAGAAAGAGAGAGAGAGAAACTCGATAAAGGCAAGCTCACGTCACACCGTGATACCGGTTGACGTTTAAGATGTTCCAATTCCATAACAGCCTTTCCCTTAGGAAATAGTGAATTTGGTTTCGGGTACATCATGTTGCTGTTATAAAATTTGTACGACGTGTCCAGGCCACATTTTAATATTCAATTATAATATAAGCGTGAGTCAATAAAAAACACTGTAAAATTTCAACCAAAAAAAAGGAACTAAAATAAAACTCGCCACCCTTTGAAGACGCCCAACACAAAGGGCTCGTTTGGCAATTTGCATGACACGCAGCCAGAGTGGCATCGCTACTCCTCCTTGTAAACAGCACAGGGAAAGCCTCAAAGCTTTTAACTGCAAGGGGCCTGACTAAGTCCGCTATCGGAGACCAGAGCTTGGAAACGGTGAGTCATCTTTGGGTTTAGCTTTCAAAACATCGGAAGCGGGAGGAGGCAAGCGGCGTGATGGGTGCGCGCGCACCGGCCTGCATGCAGAGAGACCGTTGCGGCATCAAGACGCTCGCTACTTTATGGCGTGTGAAAGCTCACAGACAGCAGGTGGACTCTGATGTAGTCACCTATTATGAGGCAAAGACTTGAGCTCTTTTTATTTTTATTTTTTTTGAAAGGCTATCAAGTTTAGGGTGTGCATGTGGGGTATTGCAGAGCATCTGCTCCACTCAGTCGCGTGCTGAGGGAATCAAACATTCCAACTGATCCTTGTCTCCCATGGTAGCTATGTGCTAATGTGTGAGTGCACGAGCACACCTCACATCATTTTTATTTATTTATTTATTTATTTTAAACTGTAAACTGACACAATGTCAGGCTGTTTATTTTTATGAAATAGTGCCACCACCTGGTAACAGCAGATACTGAAACATCTTCGTGTAAGTGTCATTGGAAGCGTACGGGTGAGCAGCTGCAGAGACGTTTCCTAAATATTGTTGCAATACATCTGGGACGCAGACATGCATTCGTACTGGAGGATTCAACATGCATATGTTTTGCATCAATATTCTGTCCCTCAGTGATGCATCCATGCGTTTCCGATGTAGCTAATCAATAGAAAAACGGTTGATCATTTAGCTTTGGTCACTTTCCATTGGACTGTGTAACCACGGTAGGTGGTATTCATGTGTGTGTGTGTGTGTGTTTGTTGCAGCTTATAAATCTTGCCCGAGTTTCTGGGATCAAAGGGGAAAAAGGCAACCGGGTGAGTCACACTTTGTGCGTACAAAAGAATTAATATCAGCGGAATGTTTCAAGTTTTTACATGCCCTGACATGCCGTGTGCTGTAAAAGCTACATGGAACCACAAAGGGGAAAAAAATGTTTTTAAGTGAGCATTTTACACTGCCTTTCTCTCCTAGGGTGATGACTGTTCTGGCATTCATTCAAGTCCGGTAGGCAACTACGTCGTTTTCCTGCAAAAAGCATCGGCCATTATTTGGCTGTTTGAAATCTGGCCCAAAGTGGTCTCAACCGTGTGTGTCTCTAACCTCAGTGTGCGGCGGGGACCAAGGGAGAGAAGGGAGAGAAAGGAGATATGGTGAGTGCCAAGGGTGCCAATCCTCCGCTACGGGTCACTGCATCGAAAAACGACTCACCCTTCAAGCCACTTGTCTCAAAACTTTTTTTCTATTCGACGATACGCTTCATGTGCTTGTTTCACTGGTGAGTCAAGAGTGTCCGCACCGCAAGTGTCAGTCCGGTTAGGCTTGAGTAAGATTTTACCGTGTCAAAATGGTCATAGTTCAGTGTCATGCCGGTGTTTTGGTCGACATTATGCATGCATCCACTCAGATGGTGTTTGTGTGTGTGTGGGTGTGTTTCTTACTCCTCCTCGTCTTGGACGGCTGACTAGTTGCAGTCGTGTTTTGAGGTGTTTGTGTGTGTGGGTGTGTTTCTTACTGCTCGTCGTCTTGGACGGCTGACTAGTTGCGGTTGTGTTTTGCTTTGCACCATGTGTGTGTGTGTGTGTGTGTGTGTGTGTGTGTGTGTGTGTGTGTGTGTGTGTGCGATCTGCCCTTTTTTATATATTTTCTAGAATCGGCTCATTGATTTGAGCCGTTTCTTCCCTCCACAGGCGCTGCCTGCCAACTGGGGCGAAGCAGTTGCATTCAAGGTGAAAGGTTTTAAGAAAGGAGGGAGGACGCGAGTTTGCTCTGACCAGCCTGTTAATTTGGGGCTCCTTAATTCCCCCTTCCCGTCTCGCTGTGTTTCTCATCTTTTTATCTGCCTCTTGCCAGGAACTGAAAGGTCAGAAGGGTGACATTGGTCCACAGGGTCTCACGGGCACTCCAGGAAAGGATGTAGGTCTTGCTCTGTTTCGTCATTGGTTTTATTTTTTTTTCCTCCCTCTTGAGATTTAGAAGCTGTACGTTACTGTACAGTCGAGCTGTTTTAATTTCCATTGGCATCGGCACAAATCCTCCAAATGATGCATAAAAACTAAATGCCAGACTGAACTTGTGCTCACAAAGCACACTCGTGGACAGATATCCACGCATATATATTCACTCCACTTGTATGGCGTTCATCTTCAACCCTCGACTGGCACTGATATCTCATCCAGCCCCATCTCCGCCACCACTTGAAGTCATTCTCGTAATGCCGCTTAGATAAGACCAGAGCAACAAAGCTTGCGCAATCAATGTCGGCTCATTTGACCGGCCTCTGCGCCTGGCACGCAGGCGGCTCCCCCGTTCAGGAAGATTTAAACCTTTTAATCTTCCCTGTTCAGAGGGGTGATCCTGCAGACGCGATGGAAAGTTTTGAGGAACAAATTACAACGCGTACGTCTGCTCTGAGATATTCCCCCGGTTCCAGCGTCAGACGCTCGCAATCAGTCGTTCACTGGGCTAAGTGGGGTTTTGGCGACAGATGGATTTGGCGGAGGAGAGATTCTTCTTTAGCCGCCATCCATCTGACGTAGGGAATATAAATGCGCTTGGTGATGTGACTCGAATTAGGCAGGCAGAATTTGGCGCACATGCTCAAGATAATGCCTCGTACACGCAACAATATTTGACTGGTTACGGTGTTTTTTTTCGCATGTCTAGCACACGCGGGGGTCGCTGAAGTCGTTCCGTCACTCAGGCTGACGTTGATGATGTCGCCGACCTGTACTGACGCCGTCACATTTCTTTCTGTCTGTCATCACTTTCTAGGGTCGAGCGGGCTCCATCTGTGTCGTCGGCCCCAAGGGACAGAAGGTCTGTGCGCATTCAATCCCGGCTACCTTTCTATCAACCCGCGTGAGTCACATCTCCGCTGTCGCATCGGTATAAACCAGATCCGGGTTGACCTTTTCACAGGGTACCTCAGGATTTGTGGGTCCTGAAGGCTTGGCTGGGGAGCCGGGCTTGCCCGGACCTCCAGGACCACCTGGAGTCGGAAAGCCAGGTCCAGCTGTAAGTAAAGCCGCTAAATCCACTCATCTGCAGGTGTCATTTTACTGATCATTGCATGACTGGAATAGATGGTAGCATTATATTGAGAAGGTGGATTGAACTGAGGTTTTAAGAAAATAATCATCTTCTTCTTGAGGGTCCTCCTGGTCAGCCCGGCGGTGCAAAAGGCGACATGGTAGGGTCACACTCGTGGATATTCGGCGCCAGCTTTTTGTCCACTTTGTTTTTGACTCTATCATACTATGTCCTAAACAGGGTGAACCTGGACCTCAGGGTGCCGACGGATTTCCCGGAGATCCCGTGAGATACGTTTAAGAACTGCAGTAATGTGCCAAAGGTCTTAGGAGCCAGTAGACGAGTTGTCCAGTCTGTAGACCAAATGTTAACTAAGGGGAAACTGTTATTGAAATTGTGGCGCCTTTTTGTTGTTGCCCCATCTCCTTGATAGTTTTTGGTTCTTGGAAGAAGATTCGGATACTTTGTACATATGCGCCAAAGTTTTTGTGGAACCCGGCAAAGCATTTTACTAACTCCTCTGACAAGTCTGACCTTCCATATTTTGTTACGATACCATCGAATTGGTGGCTGTGAAAAAGGTCACTAGATTAACATTAGTCGCGGCCCAAACTTTTTCACAGTATGGCACGTTTACATTCCAAAAATTATGCATAAACTATTCACTATATCCTTGCTCAATCAACTCTTAGGGGCCAAGAGGACCAGCGGGGCACAAAGGAGAAAAGGTATTCATTCCATTGTCTCCTCATTTGCATGTCTGTGGAATTTCGCCTCGCTACAATGAGTGGTTGGCTTTCATTTTCAGGGAGACCCATGCGAAGTGTGCCCCGCGCTGCCCGACGATGTCGGCAACACGGTGGCTTTGCAAGGGATGAGGGGCTCGAAAGGAGAGCCCGGATTGCCAGGAATTGGAGAGAGAGGACCACCTGTATGTTGAACCTGCCCTTTCCGATACCGTTGACATTTTTACAACCTCTGCTGCACTTTTCATCGCACGCGACCCCAATAACCGAGTCTTTGGAAAGCCGCCCCTGAGGCGTATGCAATTCATTTTTTTCTTGCAATTCCACAGAACGATAGTGGCCCCAGGGTGGTACCTGTCGCTGTAACTTACCCAAAGCATTGCTCGGCTCGAAAGAAAGCACTTTCTCATTCTGTTCATTTAGTATCTTTTCAAATGGAATCCGAAATGATAGGTGTGAGGGAATATGAAAGTCTATGCAACGATTTTTAGTATTGCAAGTACGATCTGCCACCTGCAGTCGGTTCTTGAAGATGATTAAGCTGGAGCAGCAGAGAGCGACAAATTGGGATAGGGCCTCACTCGTTGGCGACTGACAAATAACGCATCTGCCTTCTCTGCATATTCGCCAGGGTCTTCAAGGTGTGGCTGGAACGGGCGGACAGAAGGTATAGAGTTCCTGCTTCTTCATTTGCTACTTTGGTCTCTTTTCTATTTGCCGCGAGGGCCGCGCAAACACACTCATCCGCATTCCAGCACATTCCGACACACGCCGAAAGCAGATGGAAATGGGGATGCGTTTCCTTTGGGTGCTCTCGCACATGGTCCACCTGCTCGATCTCTGCCCGCGTGGGCGCCAAGCCCGCCCGAGCACTTTGCCATGCTCACACGTCCCACATCTGGCTAATTACAGTGACCCGTCTGCTTCCCGAGATGCGTCTAAACACGACATCTCCAAGCGAAAGACTCGATGATGAATTATAATTTGATTTGTTTTGTTTTTTTTTTTAAAGGGAGAAGCAGGATCAGATGGTGTTAAAGGGGAAAAGGTCAGTTTGACGTGCCGGTGTTGAAACGATATTTTAACACTGATTCATATCCGTGACGTGTTTGTTCATGTTGTTCAGGGTGAGCCCTGTTCGGTGTGCCCCACCTTGAGCGAGTTAGCCCCAAACCTCGGGACTCAAACTCTGCAAGTCAAAGGCCAAAAAGGAGAACAAGTAGGTCTCGGCGGAGAGTTTGCTCCTCATTACTCTTGCTTGTTTCTGGAACTTTACAGAAAAGCTAGCATGAAATGGATTGGGTCATTGTCTTTCTTTGACGATCGGTGCATTTTTGTTTTTGCTTGCAGCGCTTGTTTTCCTGGCATGTGTGCGCTGCGATAAGGACCTTCATTAAAATGATGCATTGTTTCACTTTTTCCTCCCCCGCAGGGACACGCTGGAAATGTAGGACCACCTGGCCCACGAGGAGAGAAGGTAAGTAACAGGAAAAAGAAACGGCGCTCAGACTAGGTGACCTCAATCGTAGGCTCCGCTTAAAACTTCTATGCGAGGAATTCATTCGTTTTTGAATGGGTCTTTTAATTAACTACAGGACCAATATAATCACTGGGCTGTTTTGATTCTATCCTTTTTTTTTTTTTTTCAAGAAATTTGAGTTGTTGTTCGTGAAAAGATAGCAATGACGTAAATGCATTTGACACGCTCGTCTCCGAGGTGCATCAGAGTATGAACCATGAATTACCAATTCAAAAGACACATCTCGTTTTATTAATTTGAAAAATGTTTTGGGGGATTGTGGGGGGGCTTGTCTGCAGGGTAACTCAGGGAGAAGAGGAGCTGATGGTAAACCGGTGAGTTTGGATGAAGCTCTTTGAAACAGAATGCGTGATCCTGTCAAAACGTGAAAAGATTATCGTCTCAAAAAAAAAAAAACAGGGAAAACTTGGAGCTAAAGGATCTGCCGGCAAGGATGGAGTCAAGGGTGAAAAGGTACAAAAAGGATCCTGTGCTGCTTTAAATAAAAACTGCATTCCGATATATCCGCCAATTTACCACCAGTATGCAAAATTAACATCAACAAAGAATAATGGCAATTTTCCAAAGTTTTAGTCACACGCTCTCCCTTCTTTTGTTCTATTTACAGGGAGAGATCGGACTGCCTGGTCTAAGTCTTCCTGGCCAGAAAGGGGAACCGGTAAGAAAAGACATCGGGACCGTGTCTTTATGTCCATCAAATTAACCTTCTTTCACCTCTGCCCTTCTAAAGGGCGTTTGTGCC